AGTATCGCCAACTGACATACCATGCCGTATCTTAATATGGATACCAGGGGCGGTTGGGTACCCTCGCGTTTAATATCGAAGCATCCACTTGTCACACCCGTGGCCCAAGTTCAACTTTTCACCACTGGTAATGTGTGTGGGGTGTGGGGTGGTGGTGGTGGGGGGTTTCCCCTAGTGATTAAAGCGGTGCAGGCATTTCTGGTGTTCCCCGCCGTGATATTGCTGGAATATTGCTAAAAGCGGCGTAAAAATAAACTCTCTCACTAACACGGATACCCCACGAATACTGACTCAAAGACGCCCTGTCGAGCACTAACCCGTGAAGATCCGGGTTGGAACTGATTTTCAGTAGTGAGTGAGTGAGTGAATTTAGCTTTACGCCGCTTTTAGCAATATTCCTGCAATATCACGGCGGGGGACACCAGAAATTGGCTTCACACATTGTACCCATATGGGGAATCGAACCCGGGTCTTCGAATTCGGCGTGACGAGCGAACGCTTTAACTGCTGACCCAATTGCGTAGATCGATGCGCATGCTGTTGATCACTGGATTGTCTGGTCCAGACTCGTTTATTTACAGACCGCCACCATATAGCTGGCATACTGCTGCGCGCCGTAAAACTAAACTCACTCACACACTGTCGACCACCAGACAGAGTATCAACAAGTAACATATGTTAATGCCTGCTGATACGGTGCGGCGAGGAATCAAACTACCGACCTTACATTTTGAAATATGGGCAGAAACATCCACTATACCACGCGTACGGAATCGGTCTCAGACAGCAATAAACTGTAAATACGTCAGTGTGGCTACTGTGACTATTTAGAAACACATTTGTTGTGTTAAATCAGCCTGTAACAGTATATGCGTGATGTCTTCGGTTCCACATACGAGGCAATCTGAATCTATTCGCAGACCGAGAAAATTAAATAAGGCTGACAATCATCATTTAAATCGATGCTTCTCTGTTCTGTTCTCGATGAGGGTGAGAGCGAGTTTTACACGATTGCCTATCTTTTTATCTGTCAAACGAGAGAGTAAGTGAGTATGGTTTTACGCCGCTTTTAGCAATATTCCAGCAGTATCATGACGGGGTCACCAATAATGAGTCTCACACATTGTACCCATGTGAGGAATCGAACCCGGGCCGTCTGCGTGACGAGCGAACGCTTTAACCACTGGGCTACACCACCGCCTCTGTCTACTAAAACGGGTAGTTACGAATGCAAATAAGAAAACATAGCATTTTGGTGTTGTGATTGATTATAAACTCTGTCAAAAAAGAAACGCAACCCCTGTATTTTAGAGATTTTGATCTGAAGTTTTAGGACGACACGGCATTTTTATTATTTAAGACAGAAGTCTGAAATTTGGCAGAATAATAACCCAGATGGGCATGTTTAAAATTGTCGTTTCAAAAGTCATCTCACAGACACCAGTTTGTCACCAGGGGGGCGTCTTTCTCAGTATCTCGTATGAGCACCACGCGCTGCAATCACTGCACGGCATCTCCTTGACAAGAACGGATAAGACGCCGGATTCTTTCCTGGGGAATGGCTCTCCACTCCTCCTGCAGTGCAACGGCGAGCTGTTGCAGCGTCTGTGGCGGCGGCTGACGTTGACGTACGCGTCGATCCAGAGTATCCTACAGGTGTTCAATAGGGTTGAGGTCTGGTGATTTAGAGGGTCATGGCAAGACATTGACGTTGGAATTCTGCAGAAAGTTCATTGTTGCACGTGCAGTATGAGGCCGGGCGTTGTCCCGTTGAAAATCTGTGTCTGTTGGTCAATAATCGGGAGAAGGTGAAGCTCTAACACGTGGTTGATGTAACGTTGGGCTGTCAGGTTCCCTGGAACGATCACCAAGTCTGATTTCTGGCTGTATGAGATGGTTCCCCAAACCATGACGCTTTCTCCGCCAAATCTGTCCACCTGTCGGACGCAGATGGGCGCAAAACGTTTATGACGTCTCCTATACAGACGCTGTCTTCCGTCGTGACGTTGCAAAAGAAAACGTGATTCATCAGAAAACCAGATTCGCCTCCAGTTTTGTAAAGTCCGTATCCTTACGTTGTTGCACCACCTGAGTCGTCGGCGTCGATGTAGGGGGCGTAGTACAGGTCCAACAACTGGTCTACAGGCACGTAAACCCGTTTCTTTCAGACGGTTCCTAATCGTTTGAGCTGACACTCTCCTCAAACCTGGTATTTGTGTGGCAGTCACGGTTGGTAGGGCATGCCGATTACGCAGGTGATGGACCCGGATGTACCGATCTTGAAGGGGGGTCGTGATTCTTGGCCTTCCACTTCTCGGGCGATCGTTGGTCAAATTGAAGTTGTTGTAGCGGCTCCAAAGTCGGGATATCGTTGTTTTGTGAACATTTAGGTGCCGTGCAACAGTTCCAAAACTTTCTCCGGCTTGAACACGACCAATGGCGATATTTCGGTCGGCAGCACTCAATCGTGGCATTTTAACACAGCTTTCGGCGACAAATGAATGAATATAATACGGAAGCACATGGGCTTTTATACACCCCTACATTAACTGCCATTTTCATGATTTGCATGTGTTTTTTTTGTGCGAAGTCACCATGAGGGTCATTTCATGCGTTGTGACGGAATAAGCAATAAAATACACTTATGCGTACAAATGCAGTTGTTTGGATGGTAATCTTCATTAATTACGTGTATCATTTCAATACATTCGAATAAAATTTAGTTTGGAAGCAATAACTTCATTCAAACGAATTTTTCATATCTGAGGACAGGGGTTGCGTTTCTTTTTTGACAGAGTTTATATATAAAGGTATCTTCGCCCATTGAGTACTCTCGACGGAATATTAATTTTGTTAAAATCGAAATTCCCTATCGAGGTTGTGAAATGAAACTGATTACCTTCTTCATTTAGATTATGGCGGTCAAAACATGTCCAAAATCAGCAACATTCCAACTGTATGAGCGGTCTGCAAATATTCGAGTCTTGACCAGAGTGTTAGTGAGTCAGTGAGTTTAGTTTTACGCCGCAGTCAGCAATATTCCTGCTATATGGCGGCGGTCTGTAAATAATCGAGTCTGGACCAGACAATCCAGTGATCAACAGCATGAGCATCGATCTGCGAAATTGGGAACCGATGACATGTGTCAACCAAGTCAGCGAGCCTGACCACCCGATCCCGTTAGTCGCCTCTTACGACAAGCATAGTCGCCTTTTGTGGCAAGGATGGGTTGCTGAAGACCAAATCTACCCCGGATCTTCACGGGTCTGACCAGAGTGTGAGTGACCAGAGCGTGAGTGAGTATGGTTTTACGCCGCTTTTAGCACTATTCCAGCAATAACATGGATGCGGACACCAGAAATGGGCTTCACACATTGTACCCATGTGGGGAATCGAACCTGGGTATTCGGCGTGACGAGCGAAAAAACCACTAGGCTACCCCACCGCCCCTTTGGACCAGACATCATCTCAATGGCAATAACACCACCACCGCCACTACTAGCTACTACCGACTGACTGACTGACTGAGTTCAGTTTTACGCCGCTTTTAGCAATATTCCAGCAATATCACGGCGGGGGACACCTGAAATGGGCTTCACACATTGTACCCATGTGGTGGTTCGAACCCGGGTCTTCGGCGTGACGAGCCAACGCTTTAACCACAAGGCTACCCCACCGCCCCACCTACTACTACTACTACTACTACTACTACTACTACTACTACTACTATCACCCCTACTACCACTAGTATTGTTGCTACTACTAAAATCACCACCACTATTACTATTAAAACCAACACTACTACTACTATTACTACTTCTACTACTACTACTATTACTACTTCTACTACTACAGATGTACCTACTACAAGAACCTACAGTACGGGACCCGGATGTCTACAGAGTTTCGTCCCATGGGTAGGCCAGAAGCCTGCGGTACTAGTGGGTTCGAAACCAGAGTTCGCCCAGAAATCGTGGGTTTCTTCGAAGCGGAAATATATGAGATCTGCATCATGTCGGCCTATTCTCCCTCCTCTCGTGCTGTCGCGCCTGTATATATATGTTTCGATTTCTTGACATGTTTATTTTTCACGGTTTGTATTTTTCTGTCTATATATTTCGGTCGACAACTGTCAAAATAGTAATGACAACGATCAATTGTATCGAACAACATAAAAATGTAAAAATTAACCAAAAGGAAATCTATTAAAATGGAAATAAAAAACACCTAAAAGTATAAAAAAAACCGTTATTGTTTAATCTCTCTAACATGAGGGGACAGTGGGGTAGCCTAGCGGTTAAAGCGTTCGCTCGTCATGCAATAGATCCGAGTTCGATTCCCCACATCCATGGGTACAATTTGTGAAACCCATTTCCGATGTCCCACGCCGTGATACTGCTGAAATAATGCTAAAAACGGTGTAAAACTATAGTCACTCACTCACTCTAGATAACATGAAAATTAGTAAGTAAGCGTATTCTTTGTTGCACAGTCGTAAGGAGGACTGGTCGCTTTTGTTGTTTAAAGGTGCCCCCGTAATGGTCAGTGAATGCGCTTTTTCATTTCAAAATTAAAAAATAATGCTAAAATTTTGAGTTAGCCGGAACAATTTAATGTTGATTAAATGCAAATATGTGTGTCAAATTGTAATAATCAACACATTCTTTGCGGTAATAAATGAAATAGTTCAGTCACGAGCGTAGTCCGGAAAACGGTGGCAGCATGGAAGATGAAAACCGAATACGGCCCAAGACACCCCCACCCACCCCCATACACACAACACCACCACCACCACCACACACACACACATTGAAAATCGGGTTAAGATGAGGTGTGCGCCTCCTTTTCTCAAAAAATATCACAAGCTCCGAACATTGTATGTAAAACGTGTATGGAGTTTTACATGGCGATAACATGTCGTAAATAAGGAAATGCGATTATCACGTTTCACATACTTACCTACTTTATTATATCGATATAATTTGCAAATATTTCACATATTGTTTCCTTTACTTGTGTCTAGTTCACTCTTAACGATTTCAATACGTTATTTAATGTTTTGTTGATTATTACGACATGCCGAATTCGGGCACGCCATATGAATGCGATCGTGGCAAAATTCGATTTGATGTGTTTCATGTGTCAAACAATGTCTAGAAACACAAGCAGATACTGTGACACGTAACGATGAATATTTCAGTTCCAGTCGTGATAATGACTCGATAGATAACCTGAAAGCATGGCGCACCAACTGGACGAATAAGTATGCAGGAAGCCACTTGGGCCCAGTCATCTATGAAATCTCCTTGTATCTCTGTGAAACACACACCGTCGTTCGCTACAGTTTCTTGTGTACGGTTGTATGCATTCGTTAAATTACTGCATCACTTAAAATCTTTACTATGAGCATATTTCTTATCGTGACATTTGTATCGTGTGTTTTTTTTATGATTTAATGACGAGAAGTAGGGTTTTTTCTTAAGACCTGTGCATTGGTCTTGACCGTTTAGTAAGACCAGATTGCAATATGAGACTGATGTTTAATCACTGTTTTGTATTTCATGGTGATAATGATATTTTTGTTATAATATCGATAAATATATTTCTTTGAAAATAATAGTATGTGAACGTTAACTATTTAAATATCTTTGCCTTATCTTCCAGGATCTTGAAACAAAAAATTAGCAACACCATATTGATCCTTTGATATATCAGAGACGTACTGACAATGGTTGTGATTATATCTTACAGCTGCTAAATTGTGCGTTAGAAGTCCCAGGCCTGCTATTCCTCCACAGTGAACTGGCTTGTTTACACCTTGACTGCACAACAAAGTTGACCAGATTGTAATTTTGTAAAGTTTTCAAGGCAATACAAAATGCAGTCATAGTTGGTCGTATATGGGCTGGGCACCTATGTTTTGTTACAGTAATACGATACTGCCTTCAGTGACATTTCACTGTGGTTGAGGGACTCTGGATTATCTGCTGGTCACACACATGGCTGACCGACTGACAGTTGTTGACAAAAAGGTTGTTTCTACATATGGACATTTACTCATTAGTGAGTGAGTGAGTTAAGATTTAAAGTCACATCAGCAATATTTCAGCCATAACGTGACTAAAACTAGTTCTAAATTTATAATACTTTACTCATTAATACTGCTGTGTACATATTATTGGTACTCAATTTTATGAGTTTATGTCATACAAGACTCCTCATGTCATTCAGAGAAGAAGACTCAAGATGAGTTTTTGAGATCTGATGTATGTATTTGCATGTGATCGCTAGTTTCAAATGATCATTCATTCAGTGGTATGCCAGAGTATTTTTCGGCTTAAACATGCACAAAATCCATTTTTAATATACCAACATGTACAAACTCAGCTAATATGGATAAAGCATTGTTTAATATATGGTAAAACTTAGTCAGAAAAGAGAAGGATGTTTCTCAAAATATTGATCTTATATATATAATATCATGTTATCTGGTCCAAACATGATCGCTTGCAGCCATCGAAATTACTTGATTTTCAAATGTTCCTTGACAAGAGAAAATATGTAATGTATAATATTTGGCTTCGTGGAAGATGAGTATCATTTTCTGCTTGTTTGTGGCTGAATGATGAAGTTTCATCCTCAACATGGATCATTAAATGTGATATATATGTCCATTGATCGTAGTGATCTGCTAAACGTCTGCAGTTGTATGTTTATGAGGCTGTGTGACTTAGGAAAATTATGCTGTCTAAACTCTTTACATGCATGACAAATATGGCTGCTGTAAATCTGGCTGTAACTTGGGTCGATATCCTGTGGGCAGAAATATTCAATTATGATGAAGATAGCTGGAATATCGCATTCTCTTCCAACAGAGGCTACTTGTCATATCTTCCTACGAACCTCTGTTATATTACGGCCATATTTCCCGGTTCTCTTAAAACTCCCCAGCAGTAAAAAATGCCAACATGAATTATCTCCCTTCTTTCTATCCAATCAGAACACGTGTTACATCGACTTAGATCCAACTTGACTAATACAAGCAAGTGTGAGGCCACAAATATCACCTCCTCAGCCGGGGACTTGTGTTGATGTGACACACAAGACATTAAATGGTTAGCTTGTCCGTTGTCAACCTGGGCAATGGAGACGCCATTGATCCACCATTACATGACTGAGTTCTGTCTAGAAGAAACATTTGCTTATCCAGAGGGGAAGAGGTTCTAGTTTTCCAGAAGCATACAGAAAAAACAGAGGCCTTGCGAATGATCACTTTTGAAACAACGTCGTTGATTGCACAACTAAATCTGATTGCAACCAATCACGAATCCTGAACACTCGCACCATGAAATATGATACTGCCTTCAGAACAGAGGTACGTAGGAAGATATGACAAGTAACCTCTGTGGGAATAGAATGGGAATATTGCTGAGTGTTGTATTGATATAACAACAAACCCATGTGTTCCTGTTGCCGTTAGGGCTGTGGGGTAGCCTTGTGGTTAAAGTGTTCGCTCATCACACCAAAGAATTGGGTTCAATTCCCCACATGGGTGTAATGTGTGAAGCCCATTTCTGGTGTCCCCCACTGTGACATTGCTTGAATATTGCTAAAAGCGGCATAAAACATAATTCACTCACTGACTCCTGTTGCAGCTCCAGCCATGCCTGCAGACAGACGAGCAGCACTCCAACTTGGGCTGCTACTATTGGCAGTCCCCGCTCAATATTTTGTGTCCAAGTTTTTCGCTACTCCAGAAGCTCAACGTAGTCAAAGTGTAAAAATGTAAGCAGGAATCATTTTGGTTTACCTGTTCACCTGAAAGTCAAGTGAGCATGATCATGGCCTGTTTGTATGAAGTCTACTAGGGCTGGCGAAAATGGTCAATAATCGGAAATATCGCCGAAATGAAAAATTGCTAACATTTATCAATTGTTACTATTGTGTGTAAACTTTTGTGATAGATTAATATTAGTTAGGACTTTGTTCATGGGATGCTTCTAAATTATTTTCATGTCGCTGTTTTGTAATAATCCATGCATAAACATGTCACCATGACATTTTTGCTCAAAGTTACTTCTTGATATTTACCAATAATATGTCAATATTTAATTAACTAATACTACCCTTTAAAAGTTTAGACTCACTAGTGTAAATGTAGCCACTTACTTCAGTCAACTGTTCTGAACTAGATTTTGCAAAATATTCCATATTGTCTAAAGGTACTGTTTACACATGAACTGGTGTATTGTGAAAAACAAATTCATAACGCTGAAAAAGTTTTGGTCATAGGTACAATAAATGATGAAACTCAGTGAAAATTGGAGAATTCTTAACAAAGCTTTACACTAAAACGCAGCTGTTCACATGCACGATATTTGCACATGCTTTTCAGCAATTTGATGCATGATCCTTGTGCAATTTATCTGCATTAGGTTTGCAGTTGGTTCTCCCAAGAGTAGAAAGTCATCTTCGATGTAACCATATATATATGCATAACATAAAGTGAGTGCTTTCGGCAAGTCCAAACTTTTTATGGGTAGTGTCTTATCAATCTCTATGATCACTACGCCCCTTTTCCACGCACACAGACTGCTTACACATTGATATATATATATATATATGTTAAACCCCTTTTCACTTGACCTATCACAGTTATTGTAACTTTTAAATGTAAATGTGAAAATATTAAGTAAATGATTCCTCGTTAGGATGAGAAAGCCACAATAACTCGGTGCGCCTAGTGGCTGCAAGAGTTGTATACTCCCCAGGGAGTTGAGATTGATAATACGATGTGCCGTTGAGATTGACATCCAATGACCGAGGGGAACATACCAGCCCCTTGAGCATGCACTAGTTGCGTGGATATGTGTGCTATATAAATATCCTATAATGATAAAATAATAATAATAATAATTAAAAACAATTCAGGTGGGCTATGGGGCCTTGTGGCTCAGTTTCAAAACCTTATTCATAGAATTTGTTTAAAATTGGTATTTTATATGTTACTAATTTGTTTCAGGTTGTTAAGTAATGCCGTTGGCTTTAAAAACAGATACTTATCCTGGAATTCATGGCAAAAGTGGTGTTATGAACTTATAGGCAGTTTAAACAAGAAGAAGAATGTGGTTTTCACCGGTCAGGACAACCCACAAGGGGAGTCCCCAGCCGTGGAAGTCTTTAAGTATAAGGATCCTAAAGGTTATTTTTCACGTAAGTATTCAGTATTGTGAAAATGTTCTTTAATTGAACATAGCTTAAGAACTTATCTTGACACAGGTAACGCGACGAAGCCATTTCCAATTAACATCACTTCCAGACAGGCATTTGTTTGTGGCATTTGTGGCAACTCAAAAACCGTTTAATATTTTTCAACAAAAATTGGCAGAAATATCAAACAGAACCTTAAGTGGTGCATTTTGCTAGTTACAGATATTTTTCATATTTATTTTTCCTGGTTTCCATGGAAACGATTTGAACTTAGTCTCAAAGGGGAGGGGTGGGCTTCGTTTCCGGATCACAGCTCGAAAACCGTTCAAAATCTTTCTACAAGACTTGACAGATATATCAAACAGATCTTGAAGTAGTGCCTTTTGCTATTTGCAGATTTTTGGCATTTATATTGTTCATGATTTCCATGGAAATGATTTGGACTTAGTCCAAAAAAATCAAGTTGGACTTTAAGCAACTGTCAGATGATTTGTTCTTTCAAATTTATGGGGGCCAGGGGTATTTGTCATCTTCTGATGACTCTTGTTTTTATTTAAACGGAACCCATCCTACGGGTTACCTGTGAAGATGCGGGATACAGTTAGTCTTCACAGTAAATCCATGCTTGTCATAAGAGACGTAGATTGATGCTCATGCTGTTAATCACTGCATTGTCTGGTCCAGAGTCAATTATTTTCAGACCGCTGACATAAAGCAGGAATATTGCTGATTGCAGCATAAAACAACAAACCAAACCCCAAAAACATACCTCTAAGGTTCTTGTTTGTGGGAACTTAAGTAGTTGTTTTGGCCTTAAGAACAATGCAAGGCGTTGTAATCTAAGTGTCTGCTATTCCCTGTGCAGAATTGTGGCTCTAAGGATGCAATAAACCTGAGATTGTAGGTGTAAATTCCTGGATTATGGATTCTGTAGTCTGGTTGGTTTACACCATGCCCCAGTTTGAGGTAAATGCCCATGACTTGCATCACCTGACCACCTTGGACTTTCCTGATGAACTTTCTCATCAGCAAATGAGCAACACATTCTTCTATACACTTGGCAAATATCAAGGAAGGATTTACACAAAACACATCTGCAATACTGACTAATTTAAGATAACAGCTTTATAGTTTGTTAGTGCAATGTTTCGGTAAAGATTCTTGTACCATTGTCTAGATGAAAACGGTATCTTGAAAAGATATCATGTCCTATGTCACGCCATAAAGCAGCAGGTAGAATATGGACTATTTGAAATTATTGACACTGATTGGCTGATAAGAAAGCTCTCTTCTTTGTCTGATATGGAGCTGTCCCAAGACCTTCTTTAGAGATGTAACATATCGGAGTGGAAGATCTCATTGTGAGATCCGTGATAGAATAGGTCTTCAGCAACCTATGCTTGCCGCAAAAGGCGACTATGCTTGTCGTAAGAGGCGACTAACGGGATCGGGTTGTCAGGCTCGCTGACTTGGTTGACACATGTCAATTGCACATATCGATGGTCATGCTGTTGATCACTGGATTGTCTGGTTCAGACTCGATTATTTACAGACCGCCGCTTTATAGCTGGAATATTGCTGAGTGTGGCATAAAACTTAACTCACTCACTCACTCATAGGGAGATTGGTTGATGCGTCATGTCTGTTTTTTGTGTTTTAGAATCTACAGAGCCACGGAGTCCACGACCAGCTGGTGTTAAGTACAGAGTAGGACAGGTTATACGTCACAAGATCTGGGGCTACAGGGGGGATTATAGTTGGATGGGATCCTCAAGCTCGGGTAAGTTCGTCAAAGCGTGGCAGCATTGGTAGTTGCTCTAGAGTTGTTGACTGATAGGTAGCCTTGTTGATTTGGATGCTCGGGCAACAAGACCTGAGCTGATTTTGCACACTGGTAAATTGTGTGAAGTCCAGTGTTGGTGTCTGCCACGATAGTGCTGGAATGTTGATAGAAATGGCATGAAACATGGCACTCACTCACTGTCTGCAGCAATTTTCCTGCTATGTGGCGGTGGTCTGTAAATAATCGAGTCTAGACCAAACAATCCAGTGATCAACAGCAGGAGCATCGATCTACCCAATTGGGATGTGATGACATGTGTCAACCAAGTCAGCGAGTCTGACCACCCGATCCCGTTTGTCGCCTTTTACGACTCACTCACTCACTTCAGAGGAATTGGTCTTGGGCTCAGTGTTATGTGGGTTGAAAACATCAGTACATAACCCATGTGATTTCTGTTGTTTCCAGGCAAGTTTGGTTTGTGTTGTTTGAATCTGTCCAGCATCGGTTGTCATGCATGGGATCATATGTATTAGTGGTGGTCCGATTAATTGAAATAATCGAAGATTGGTCGCAGTGACCAAACGACCAAGCAATCGATCACAATTTCTCATAATCGAACAAAAACGAGTTTGGAACTACTGTTTAGTCTTTGAAAAACTTGACAATGGAACATATCTTAGAAGTTGTTAGGGCCTGAAAACGTGTTTATTTCTTAGAAAACTCACTTCACAAACTGAAAAGCCATGACTGAATGTTTCTCTAAGACTCAAGGAAGTTTATGTTCATGATATATTAGTCTTCACTTTAAAGTAGCAAGTTGCATCATGTTATACATATCTGCAATAACAACCTGGATAGGAAAATCTGAAAAACCAATTTTTTTCGATGATTGTTCGTTGGTAATGAAGCAATCATCATTTGTGAGATTTCAACCAATTCCCAACACTAATATGTATTGTGTAGTTAAAAGGAGGACAAAGTCTGTTAAGGGCACCTTTTGTCTCATAAGATCTGCATATTTTCAGAAATGAGCAGAACATTTAAAAGTTGTGTGAGATGTCATCAGGTATGTCGATACCAATGAAAAGTAGGCTTTGTAAATTTCAGTGTATACATGCCCTGACTAAATATTGTTTTCTTTGGGTGTGTTGTTAACCATTTCAATACATCTGATATATTTCATGTCATTATTACATTTAGGTTTTTGTAACTTTTGAATTTGACATTTCCCAGGGGCCAAGAAGGCCCCTTATCCTTCTTCATCGTTTGGTATTGGTGAGTGAGTTTAGTTTTATGCCGCACTCAGCAATATTCCAGCTATACGGCAGTCATCGTTTGGAAGGTTGTTCATTGTAAGAAGTGAAAGGATCAGTTATTATGAGTAAGGGCCAGAGATGTAAGAGTAAGGGCCAGTGAAAGTCTGGACCAATAATAGACTAGTGATATAAGAATAAGGACCAGTGTTGTAAGAGTAAGGACCAGTGATGTAAGAGTAAGGACCGATGATGTAAGAGTAAGGACCAGTGATGTGAGAGTAAGGACCGATGATGTATGAGTAAGGACCGGTGATGTAAGAGTAAGGACCAGTGATGTAAGAGTAAGGACCAGTGATGTAAATGTAAGAGCTAGTGATAATAAGGGCCAATGATAAACCAGTGATATGAGAATAAGGACTAGTGATATAAGAGTAAGGACCACTGATGTAAGAGTAAGGACCGGTGATGTAAGAATAAGGACCAGTGATGTAAGAATAAGGACCAGTGATGTAAGAGTAAGGACCTGTGATGTAAGAGTAAGGACCAGTGACGTAAATGTAAGGACAAGTGATAATAAGGACCAATGATAGACCAGTGATGTAAGGACCAATGATAAACCAGTGATGTAAGAATAAGGACCAGTGATATAAGAGTTAGGACCAGTGATGTAAGAGTAAGGACCAGTGATGTAAGAGTAAGGACCAGTGATGTAAGAGTAAGGACCAGTGATGTAAGAGTAAGGACCGGTGATGTAAGAGTGAGGGCCAGTGATAGTAAGGACCGGTGATGTAAGAGTGAGGGCCAGTGATAGTAAGGACCGGTGATGTAAGCGTGAGGGCCAGTGATAGTAAGGACCGGTGATGTAAGAGTGAGGGCCAGTGATAGTAAGGACCGGTGATGTAAGAGTGAGGGCCAGTGATAGTAAGGACCGATGATAGACCAGTGATATAAGAATAAGGACCAGTGATGTAAGACAGTGAATTATTTTTTGTTCATTATATATTTTTATTTATTGATTATGTAGATGTTGACTTGACCATTGTTTTGTTTCCAGGCTCCAGAAAGCTGGATAAAGGAGATGCACGGGAAGGGGAAGGCGGTGAGTGTCACGTGACCACACATTACACCATGTATACTTCTTGTGGTACAAGCCTACTTGGGGCAGGTGTTACTTGGACAACTCAGAGAAAAACTATACAGCCCCAATACTGGAGTGAAAGTCAGCAATAGTACACAAAAGGGAATTATAAAGGTCTTATTTTTCCTTATCCTGACTCATGCTCTTTTGCTTGTCCCCTTCCTCTTGCGAACATAGTGGAACACTTGTATCTCCTTAATTGAAGCTCCCTTCAATGTAAAATCACTAATTGGTACTCACCCACGAGTTACCTCCCCTGCCGTAAGCGCGGGAACAGGTGTCGCCACCCTCTGGCCTCATGCTTCACTCTCTCCTTCTTCGCCCAGTGAGCAGGATGTGAGAGCGCCTGTGTCTCCTTACACACTATATCCTTTGGGTTTTCTTAGTTAGTTACCTTTTATAGTTTACTATAAAGGTATAGCTAGTATCCTTCAGTTATTTGCGTTAATAATTAATCGTATTTCTACTGTTTATTCACGTGAGTTCGTGATTGTTCAGCTAGTTTTACATTGATGAAAAACTGTACTATTTGTAGATTACGTTTTTCCGCTGCGGATCCGCATGTGGTATGCCCTAGTTGTACTACGCCTTGTGCGTTTGACTCACGTTGCAGTTACTGCATAAATTTAACCAATTCTGCCTTTGATAAATACCATCTTTGCGTCTTGAGACGTGTTGCAGATAGGTCACGCAAACTAGGTGTAGACATGGCCGATACGTCGGATTGCCCATCCAGTCAACTGCTGTCGAGTGATCCCTTCCCGTCTGGTGTTCTGCTTGAGACCCCATCGGAAGAGGGACGTGGGATGCAGTCCGTCACCTCTAAGAAGCGACCGGCCTCTCCAGACATCCAGTCATCGCAGACAAAGTCCAAGAGGGCCTCAACGTCTTCTCAACGCAGACTTCGTACCCCCAGGGCAGCGTCTTCCTCCAAAGGGAAATCTACGAAGTCATCGAGAACTTTCTCAGACGAGATCGTTCCAGCAGCAGAATTGGGCCTCTACGATGACCAGCCGATCATCATACCCGACATACGCCACAAGAAGCGACCAGTGACAGCGACAGTGACGTCAGCAGAGATCAACAAGCAGCCTGATGCCTCTACACTGATGTCAGACGAGATCGCTGAGGGCCCCACCGCTAACACAGCAGAAAGGGCACCATCTACTACGTCGCAGATCATCCCAAACGATCTTATGAAACAGATCATGATTATGATGGAAGGCCACTATAGACTGGAGAAGCAGCCATCCCAGGGTCCGAGCCTTCGCGAAGGCTCCAACGTAGACAGCACCCCAGGGGCACCATCTGTCAACGTAGCAGCCACGACAATGCAGCCTTCGCGAAGGAAGTCACAGACCACCTCGACGAAGGACCCAGATGTACAGCCTTCGCGAAGGCCTTCGCGAAGGCGGGAAGAATCATCACCTTCTTCGGCGTCATACTCAGATATGGAATCTGATCACCAGACCACACGCAAGCCTTCGCGAAGGTCATATCATCGTTCCCCAGGACCGGGACGCATACGAAGCTTCGCGAAGGCGTTCGCGAAGGACACCTGAACCCAGATCGTCTTCATCTAAAAGATCAGCAAGGGACTACACAAGAGCTTCGCGAAGCTATCAGTCCCCTCATAGATCGCCAAGAAGGTCAACCTATCGATATAGATCACCAAGACGATCACCTCGCCGATCACCACGTCGATCACCTCACAGGTCTGCACATAAGCCTACAACTAGATCTCCACAAGCGTCAAACGATATAGAGATAGAGCCACACAGCCCTACATCAGAAGAGCAACAACCTCTTATCTATGATGATGGAATGGAAGATGATGGAGGAATTATTTTCTCAGATGCAGAGATAAGATATTGGATGGTCAATAATCTAGATCTCTCATCACCTTCCAAGAGTGGCAATAAGGCGCAGACTTATCTGATGAAAGAAGATGACGCAGATGCTATTACACTACCCCCAATCGACCCGATTGCGGCGGTACCTCAGAACCTAGATACAGCATTTAACAAAGCCACAAAGGTTCAGACGCCACATCTGCCAAATTTCAGCGCCAAGAAGTTCTCCACGCATAATATGGAACCCTTCTTCAAAGCGCAAGACATCGATGAGAACTATAAGCTGATCTCCGATGCCAAGAACAAGTACTACAAGATTGATGATCGGAAATTGGTTCAGATAGAAACCATGACGAGGCGTATGTTCTTCGGTCTAAATAGATCTAGAACAATAAATGAGACACTTATCTCCAGATTTCGGGAACACGACCTCTGAAGATGACAGAATGATTTACTCGGCCCTACTGATGCAAAAGAAGGACCAGCAGTTTTTAACAGATCATCTGACGTCTGTCTCAGCAGCACTGACCTTAGCTCGTCGTCAAGGCCTCCTAGCTTCCTGCAACTGGGGTGAGAACTTTACAGCTCCACTATATACAGCCCCGTGGTCTTCCCCATCCATATTTGACGGAGGAATAGACACAGTCTCCAAAGAAGTCACCAAGGATTCTAGAGAAGTCCTGATGATTAAATCGATGGACACGCTAGCCAGTGTCATTCGACAGACTTCACAAAGATACTCAGGGAGATCTAAATTCACGGGCCTACAAAGAGCTAGAGACAGGAAGATTGCCAGTTCCAGGGGAAGAGATTCTTTTCGTCGCCCATATGGCAACTATAGAGGAGGGTCAGGACGAGGCAGGACACCCAGAGGTTCCCGCAACTATAAACGCTGAAAGACAGGTTCGGAACGACTGGAGTCTTCCACCCCCCAGCCGTTCCAGTACAACCGTCACAAGTGGGTGGACGTCTTCAACTACACTGGGAAAACTGGGGAATACTTCAAGACACCTATGTCTCCAACATTCTTCAACGCGGATTTCGTATCCCACTACAGGCCAAGCCTCCACTAACAGTCAACCCTCACAAGTTCGAGGTAGAGGCACAACAACTACTAAAGTTAAGAGAGGCGGTTACATTACTCCTAACCAAGCAGGCCATAGAAGTAATAGAGCAAGGAAACATCGAACCAGGTTTCTACTCCCCAGTTTTCCTAGTACCCAAGAAGAACTCCAAGGAGAAATACAGACTCATTTACAACATGAGCTTATTCAACAAGACTTACTTAAACAAACCACCCAGGTTCACTATGATACATCTACCGCAGCTACGGCAGATGATTCGCCCCATGGACTACATGGGCAGTATAGATCTACAAGATGCTTATCTGCACATCCCAATACATCCCGAATCCAGGAAATACCTTCGGTTTACGCTAGACGGGTTACATTACCAGTGGAAAGTACTCCCATTCGGAATAGCATCAGCCCCATGGTTATTCACGAGGATAACGAAACCGATTGTTATCTATCTACATCGTCAAGGGCTACGCAGTGCGTTCTTCCTCGACGACGGGATACAAGTAGATCAAGATCCACAGCATCTCAAACTACAGTTAAACTACATCATAAAGCTACTAACACAGCTGGGATGGTTAGTAAACTTACACAAGTCGGACCTAGTACCATCGCAAGATCTGCAATTCCTAGGAATCCGATTTATCACCAATCTCAACCGTATAGTCGTACCAGAAGACCGTTGGCTCAAGATCCAACAGATCATTCCACCAGCTCTACTGTCACCGCTACCACTTCGACAATGGCAGAGCTTACTAGGTCTTCTAACATCAGCCCAAGACTTGACAGTCATAGGCAGATTACAGTTACGTCCGTTACAGGTCTTCGTCAATACACATCTCGACGACCTACAACCATTCAGTCTACCGATACATCTCAGACCTCATCTATTATGGTGGACAAAGAAATCGAATGTCTGCGAAGGGATTTGTTTAGCAGAGCAGGAATTCAAGACCCATCTATATGTAGACGCGTCGCTCCAAGGTTGGGGAGCTCATCTCTCCAACCGGACGGCATCAGGGTTATGGACTCAGCTAGAAAGCAAACTCCACATAAACGCATTAGAGATGAAAGCTGTAATCAACGCCATAAGACATTGGAGCAACATTCTACAGAATGCGCACCTGATGATACATACCGACAACTCGACAGTGGCGTTTTATGTGAACAGACAAGGCTCAACGAGATCGCTTGAACCTTTTGAATTTAACCTTTCAACTGTTCGAATTAATCCAAGATCTAAATCTACATGTCAAAGCATGCCACATTCCCGGAGCCAGGAATATACTAGCAGACGCACTCTCTCGGCCACATCTACCGTCGCCGACAGAATGGATGCTCAATACAGAGATATTTGCACAGATAATCAAGCAAATAGGAGCGCCGCTAGTAGATCTATTCGCCACAAGGTTCAACAATCAACTACCGACATTCGTGTCACCAGTGCCAGACCCACAAGCATGGGCAACAGACGCTCTAAGCATTTCATGGGAAGGCCTCAATGCGTACGCGTTTCCGCCCCCAGCAATAATACCTCTAGTATTACAGAAAATCAACCAAACGCAGAGCCTACAACTCACTTTGGTCGCGCCCTATTGGCCGGCCAGAACGTGGTTTCCCGCCTTAATACAAGATATCGGTCAACCGGCACTAGAACTACCCAAGCGCAAAAACCTGTTAATACATCCTCACACCAAACAGGTGCACAGAAACCCAGAAGTATTCAAACTTCACGTATGGACTGTATTAAAATGTGTTTAAACAAGAGGATATTCTACCAGGGCGGCAAAAGCGTCACGCTTTGCCTTTACGATACTCAACGCGCGTAACTTGTACGATGACAAGTGGCAAAGTTTCAAAAATTATGCAACAAACAAGGGTTTTACAGCGAGAGATGCTACGCATCCTCAAGTGGCAGACTATTTGTGTTACTTACGGCAAAACAAACATTTAAAAGGCTCGACATTGTCAACATATCTTGCCAGCTTAGTTCTGTGATTTCTATGAGAACGGGTGTTAAATTAACAAGAACACCAGAGTTACTGGCCTTACTACGTGCTTTCCGATTGGAGGACCAAAAGCGGAAATTCCACGCCCAGCTTGGGATCTGAATGTAGTTTTACGACACCTCACAAGTGAGGATTACGAACCATTGGAATCGACAACGTTTGAATTTCTCTCACAGAAAACAGTCTTCCTGTTATCGCTAGCCACGGCAGCCAGAATATCTGAAATTCATGCTCTAGATTATGAGAGGATACAGTTTGATGAAAATCAAAAGACAGCACCTGGGATTAAGATGGGATTTCATCGCTAAAAATCAACTACCAGGTCAACCAGACAGGTTATTTCACATCCCTGCGCTATCCTCAATTCTTGGATCTCAAGATACATTGGACTTATCTCTATGCCCAGTAACGAGCTCTCATAATCTATTTACGTCGTTTCCAAAACAAGGCGAAGATCGCTCAGAAGATTGTTCATCCCGTTATCGCCTACAAATCAGACAGAAGTCTCTCGTACCACCATATCAATATGGATAAGAACTGTCATTTTACGCGCCTATAAGGCAGCAGGACTGGACCCTCCAACAGCATCAAATCCCCATGAAATCAGGGCATTGGCATCCACCCTCGCCCTTCATGGTAACTGTTCATTGAATACAATTATGGAAGGATGCTTTTGGAAATCTAACATGGTGTTTGCTAATCACTATCTCAGAGATATCACCACCGAGGACGTCTCTGGCATTCATCATTTCGGTCCTTTGGTCCTCGCCAGCAATTGACAGTCCCTCGTGGCGGCGTTAATATTCACCCCCACGAGATTATTAGATATATGATACATATATTCACTAGCTTATAACTCCATGGAGTTCTAGGGCTATGTACATATTTAGCTTAGGTTATTCAACCTTAAGCTCATACTGAGTTATATTCAGTGTACAGCTACGTTAGAGTAGCAGTTTATATATATATATTGATATATCAGTATATTAGTAAGGTAATACCCCACTTATAGTGTATATATCTATGGATTATTATAAGGAAATATCCTAAGTCTCAATGCCTTATGAAGTTCCCGCAGGGGTTATTACAATATCACTTACTTAAATCACTAATTAATCCAAAGTATTCTGTTTACCCACCACCTCTCCGGTGGATTCTACAAGCAAAAGAGCATGAGTCAGGATAAGGAAAAATATGTAATTTTCTGAGTAAAATTGATATTTTATACTTATCCTGACTCATGAGGTTAGCCCTCCCATCCTCCCCACATAACACTTTGGATTTCCCTGTAAATTCAAGTGTTGGGCTCGCAAAATCAGGAGAGAGTGAAGCATGAGGCCAGAGGGTGGCGACACCTGTTCCCGCGCTTACGGCAGGGGAGGTAACTCGTGGGTGAGTACCAATTAGTGATTTTACATTGAAGGGAGCTTCAATTAAGGAGATACAAGTGTTCCACTATGTTCGCAAGAGGAAGGGGACAAGCAAAAGAGCATGAGTCAGGATAAGTATAAAATATCAATTTTACTCAGAAAATTACATATTTGATGTACCATGGAAGCTGTCTGAAATAATCCGGTTTAGACAGCATTCCGGATTATAGAACTGACATGGTTACCTGGAACTAGAACTGAACCAGTGTTGTCACACTCATATACATTGTTGTATCACGTGGTTCTCTCAGCTACTGCACACACTGACAATAATAGACAAACATTTGAGCTCATGCTCACTAATTACATGTCAGGGCTCGATTTAGTGCTTTGATACTTGCACTGGTGCAACCCAATATTACAAAGTGCAACCTAGTTATTAGTCTAACTTGCACTAGGTGCAAGTCAATTTTTGAGTGGGTAAACTTCTTAATAAAACATCTAAATAAATCAGTAGCATATTTCTTTCATTACATATTGCAATAAAAGCAGTGCAACTGGAATTTGACTGGTGCAACTAGGTTTTTATCTCAGGTTGCACCTGGAGCAAGTAGGTTAACATCTCTTGAATCGATCCCTGCATGTACAGGTATACCTATCCTGAACTAAGGTTAAATTATCTTTGTCGGCAACCATGTAGTTTCAATGCAGGATTAATTGGTGACAATACACATCTGGCCAACTCCTCACCATGCGCCAGGTTAGACAGCGCTTATTACTGTATAAACACATACTCGGACGGCTCATTTCATGCCGAGATCCAGAATTGACAGCTGCTGGATTGCAGAGCTTTTAAATGATGATAAATGTGCTAGCCACGGATGGAACTGAGATTTTATGCCAGTGTTGACAACTTGCCGGGTTTTACAGCTGCTGGTTTTGACAGCTTCCACTGTATATCAATAAATATCTACTGGTTAAGTTGGGTTGGCATATTTCTGTGAGATAACTGTGAGATGTTTTGCACCTTTGCTGTTTTCGTAACTCATGCTTTTCCCTATAGCACTATCGGACTCAGCCAAACTACTCCATTCTGGTGGACACCCGCGACCGTATTTCACCTCAGACCACCTATGTTCCTCAGGAAAACATTGAAGTTATTGTACATATGCAGGTGAGTTGGCCAACAGAAGTGTTGGACAAATGCTAGATGTCTTAAAGTACTGTCGGAAATAGAACCAAACTGTATTTTCTCATTTATCTCTACAATTTATGTAGTTGATATGTGAAAGTGTGAAATATCTGTTAAACTAAGTTCGGCCTAACTACAGTCTCAGTGGTAGGGAGACAGGAAACGTAGAAAAAAGACTTTTCTGAGGAGAGATTAGTGCAGAAATTAGCAATGCGGGTACAAAACGACTTACTTGGAACAGACCATGGCTTTAAGCAAATTAAGTGCGATGATATTGTATTACAAAGGACACTTTTTAAATGCCCAATTTGAAATTAGACGTAGCTTCATTATAAATGATAGCGGACGCATAAAATAATAACTTTCATGCTGAAACTATTAAGGATGTAGCTACCATGGAGTCTCACTATCACTATAAAAAGAAACAGGCAGGAGGGGTCGTCTCAAAAGCAAAACCAGGACGGGTGTCGCAGACGGTGGTGCGGTTCGGGCTGGGGGATAGAGATATCCGCTAAGATAAGATAATCCTTACGGGGAATTAAACTTGGGAAGTAAACGGCATGTCATAACAGTTTACAAATAATATCCAGTCCTGTCGATCTTCGGGTGGTCATGTCACCTATATATTTTTAGACATTTAATACGATGGCTAATTTAAGCTTTTCTATGGGTATCATGCTCTTTTACATATCTCAACATAAACTTTATGAAAGAAAGACACGTAAGATGTTGATCAATAGATGAGACATAAACAACGCACATGAAAAAGCATAAAATATCTTTGAGATGACCCCTTGTGCCTGTATGCAACACATGCATTTCATGCCAGGTGAGTCGACAGTCTGTCGTCATAACTGGCTGAGCGACCTAATTGCCATCTATAGTCTGATCTATTGTTTTCAGCAACTATTCATATTTTTTCTAAGTTTTGCCCGATTTTACGAGTAAACATGCTTTTCTGGATATCGTATTACGCATCCCACTGAATGTCAAGTTAGGCCAAAGTGGGTTATTTCGACATATGCTATTTGCAATTGTGTAAATTTTAGGGATACGGAGTAAACAGCCTAAAAACAGTTTTTTTTCAATTTCCGACAATACTTTAGCTATGGAGGAGACAAACGATATGTATCGTCTCATGACTCACTGTCATTTCACTCCCATGAAGGAATCTGGCATTGTTTGGGGGTACTTCCAGAATTATCTGAATACTTTCACAACACTGTCACAATACTGGTATAACAACTGCAATATTATCAGAGTTTTGTCTAAAAATGTTTAACTAACACAACACTACTGCTTTGTTTAAATGTCCCGAAAGCTGCATGATTCCCAGGCAACTGAAAATGTAATTTGAGTGCACATCTGTTGTTTGGGGTGATAATTGTGTAGCACCATCGATACCCTGCATTATTAACAAGACTTTTTATCATATATTGAGTTGGTTTTTCAGCTGGTTAAACAGATATATAAAAATAGGACTCCATAAATACAATGTTAATTCCTAACTCAAGATGGGCGGTGGGGTAGCCTGGTGGTTAAAGCGTTCGCTCGTCACGCCGAAGACCCGGGTTCGATTCCCCACATGGGTACAATGTGTGAAGCTCATTTCTGGTGTCCCCCGCCGTGATATTGCTGGAATATTGCTAAAAGCGGCGTAAAACCTAACTCACTCACTCACTCACTTAACTCAAGATATTTGTTTACCATCCAAAAACACACTGATGTAAAAGTCACTGTTTATCATATATATTATTTTGCATTGTTTTTAAATATTTAATAAATTTAAAATTCTGATATATTTCCAATTCTCCCTTTCAGATAATCCATCCAGACATAGACAACTACTTTGAGAGTTTTGACGGAGCCCAGTATATAGCCCGGCCCTTCCTGAAGGCTATCTATCCCCATGACTGAGTCCTCCTTGAATGTCAGATTGTCTCAAAAGGATCGTTAGACCACGCTTTCACAGTCTGTTCACGGACTAAGTCCACCTTGTGTAACATACTGTGACAATGGCGTGGAATGCTTCCAAACAAGCCCCCTCTTCTACTCAACAAGAAAGGTTAAATTTTCTGGACTTAAAATCATGAAAATGCAATTTCAAAGAGCTTGGTACCTTATGATATGCAACACATTTGTCCTAGACAGTGAGTGTATCAGGATGTGTTATATTGACTGACACAAGCATTACAATGTGGAGATGTCATGGATCAAAATTCTGTCAGGAGAAGAATTTTGCCAAAACTGGAACTGTTTGTGAATATGAGCTGCAAGATTATATATATAATGTGATGACACTGATGATGATAATAGTGATGATGTTGATATTTTGTATCGGCTGTTAAAGTTGACTGGGTTACTCGATCTGTTTTCCATAAAAATCCTGAATGAAGAATTTCAGAAGAATTTTACCGAAACTGGCGCTGTTCACAAATATGAGCTGCATGATTATATATAATGTGATGACGCAGATGATGATAATAGAGTGATGATGTTGATATTTTGTGTCGGCTGTTAAAGTTGATAGGGTTACGCGATCTTTTTTCCATCAAAATCCTGAACGAAATACTTCAGGAGAATTTTTGCAGAAACTGGTACTGTTCACGAATATATGATACATGATATATATGGTGTGATGAAGATGATGATGATGATGGAGTGATTATGTTATACTGTATTGGCTGTTATAGTTGATAGGGTTATTGGATCTGTTTTCCATCAAAATCCTGACAAAATAACAGCAGAAGATGAATTTTCCCGTATACGGAACTCTTTGTGAATATGAGCTATACGATAAACATTGGCGATAAAGGTGATGACAGTGTTATCATATTGATATGTTGTGATGGGTATTACAGCTGATGCAGTTACTGGATTCATACCCTGGGTACAAAACAATACCCCTACATCGTTGTACCAAGGTTTCTTCGTTGTGCTATGAAAATGTACCCTTGGTACACATAATACTTCGCGTTGTACCAAGATATTCTTTATTGAATCATTTGGTTTCCAAATTGGTTTGCCATCAGTGTATGAAATAAGCCAAAAACCCAGCCAGACATCAAGGCTGGTAACTTCAAAATGTCACCAGCCCAAAATGGTTTAACCAGACCAGGCACCAAGGTATGGTGAATTTATTAAGATGTGTGGAATATCTAAAAACATTACCAGACCATCGGGCTGGCTAGCTGTAAATTTAGACCGTCTGTCAGAAATCTAGCCCGTCCCGGGCAGTCAGACGGGCCATATTTCATATACTGGTTGTGCCCTGATTTTCGTTTTTGTATGGTTTGGTTCCTAGATTTGTTAACCATCAAAATGAACCCTGGGTACAACACTTCGAACAACACTTCACCTTGGACCTAAATTTCCTTTGATGTATTGTTTTGTACCCATGCTGTATGAACGTGTACCCTGAATTCGGAAACATCCCGATTACTTTTAAAAATGTCCTAAATGAGTCCTTCTTCATTTGAAACCATTGTTGGTCCTACTCCCAAAAGAATTCCCAAAGAAATTTATGTGTATTAAACATGTTAAAACTAGTATGAGATAATTTTGTTATGAATTTGTGGTTTTTCTACACAGGAGTCAATATACCACGATATACAGTTTATACATATTTATTATAATATATTTCTTAGTGATGAGATTAGAGAACTAAAAACAACAGTACCCTGATTTTCGCTCGCTTTTAGCAGCGAAAAATCAGGGTACTTTTAGAAATGTTCAGGTACTATTAGATACAATCAGGGTTGAAAATGGTACAGCGATAAAAACTTCATTATTACACTATGTATCATGTACCCAGGGTACATTTGGCTTTATCGGCTGTGGTACCAGAATATGCCCCATTTTACTATCCGATATTGACACGTACCCACTTTGAAATGAAGACAGAGAAATGTACCCTGCCTGTCCACTGCTTAGTACAGAAGTGACAGTGAGTCAAGTAACACGGTAAACAGTATGCATAAACAGTTTTGGTTTCCTTTGTAACATTGTAAAGTGTTACATTCTGAGAGATCAGATGATTATCTGAACGTGGCAACCAGCTAGATCATATGCATATGATATGGAATTGTCAGAACATATAATTCTTCAAGTCCAGAATGTACAGTAAGGCTTGATTTTCTCAACATTCAGCATACTGGAAGATATTCACCATTGAATGAGTTTGTCAACTGTCTGGTGCTATTCTGTGGCAAGTTTTGGGTACATTTCTGCACTTTTACTTCAGTCTACATTCAAATGTTCTGGAGTTAAATTTCTCCAGTACCTAATGTGAAATTGGCCCCTGCAGATGGAGTTGGTTGCATGATGATGATGATGATGATGATGATGCTTACATTTGTCTTCATAATAGGATCAACATGCAAAATATATCTAGGATTTTAAACTTGTTGTCCTTGCAGTTTGCTTTGGGGAACTTTTCTAGCATGTCAGACCAGGTTTCCTTACAGGAATTTATCTAGGATTCCTAATAAGGTGATTTCTATAATATTCAAAACTAAGTGTACTTGAAGTGCTTTCTATAATATTCAAAACTAAGTGTACGTGAAGTGATTTCTATAATATTCAAAACTAAGTGTACTAGAAGTGATTTCTTTAATATTCAAAACTAAGTGTACTAGAAGTGATTTCTATAATATTCAAAACTATGTGTACGTGAAGTGATTTCCATAATATTCAAAACTAAGTGTACTAGAAGTGATTGCTATAATATTCAAAACTAAGTGTACGTGAAGTGATTCCTTGATATTCAAAACTAAGTGTACTAGAAGTGATTTCTATAATATTCAAAACTAAGTGTACTTAAGTGATTTCTATAATATTCAAAACTAAGTGTACTTAAGTGATTTCAATAATATTCAGTACTAAGTGTACTAGAAGTGATTTCAATAATATTCAAAACTAAGTGTACTTAAGTGATTTCTATAATATTCAAAACTAAGTGCACTTGAAGTGATTTCTATAATATTCAAAACTAAGTGAACTTGAAGTGATTTCTATAATATTCAAAACTAAGTGCACTTTGAGTGATTTCTATAATATTCAAAACTAAGTGCACTTTGAGTGATTTCTATAATGTTCAAAACTAAGTGTACTTGAAGTGATTATCAAGGATTTCAAACTAAATGTGGTTACAGGACTATATTTAGGATTTCAAAGTATGTATTCTCACACAGATTGAGCTTTTCAAGTTAGGTGCCCTAGCAGGGAAGTATCTGAAGTTTCAAGGTATTCAATTTAAGAGGAGTTATCAGATCTTTTGAAATAAATGCTTACAGGGATTTGTCTTGGATTTCAAGCCACAAAAAGCTCAATGTATCTCCTCCGACCTTTCACTAACATAGATTCATTTGTGATGCCATCAGTCTTATCTTATCATTAAGTTTCCAGAGACATTCACTCATATTGGAATATTACATGATTGAATGGCTATTTAGTGCAATTGAAGTCTTTCAATCAGACACAAATTACAGCTATGGCAGTCAATGGGACCAAAGTATTTTTCATAACATGATGGTGTAAGTCTGCATTTGTTGGCCGTTAAATCCACAGTCATCTATATATGGTAGCAGCCATATTAAATAGTAAATAAACAAGTCTAGACCAAGCAATCCTATGATTGATATAATGATCAAAAATCCAATTCCTCATGGTTATCATTGACGTGTTATCAACATATTTACCCAGCATGACTATCAGATTGATTAGATCACTTCTTACGGCCAGCATTGGTTGCTAGGGGCAACATGATGCCCATTGGTTCCCACTAAAGTTGCCTCTTAGAGAAAGAGGTACTAGGACACATGCTAGCCAAGGTTACACTGGACTTGAACATAATCAAGAATTATAAACTTGTCAATAAAAACTGCTTCTGAGGAAGTTATTTGCACAAAAAATACCACAGTCCCTGTATCATGGCAAACGGTTTGTGTATCAAACAAGTTGTAGGATGCATAGGAATGATAATACTAAAGTACTGTCGGAAATGCTAGAAAAATGTTTTTTGGCTTATATTTAAAAATTCAGAGGTATTACAGTTACTTAAATAACAAATATCACTTTAAGAAGCATCTACCTAATGTAGACCGAGGAATAAATTTTGAGACATGCCCTAAAATGTGTTTTTACTGATGAAAATACCCAAAAATTAGAAAAATAAGAGGTAGTGGGACGTTATTGATACAAACATTAACTGCCTGTGTTACGTCATCAGCATGCACGGTATCGGTATCGACAGGTGAAATTGACACCTGAGCACACGCTCGGGGGAGGGGTCATCTCAATAGATGTTTTCTTCAAAATGTTGAATATGTGTACGTATAGTATACGTATTGGTTATGTAAGGGATCATTTGTGTATGTGTGTTTGTTTTGAAATAAACATACGAATTACTGTACATTGGAAAAAATCCTATCACTTGTGTTATCTTATCGATTGATTGTAGAAATGTGCAACGTTTTAATAAATGTTTTGCATGTCAACAGTATATTTCATTGCAAAAATATGGATGTAATTCGGTCAGTTTAATCTAGTTGTGAACATTGGCCAAAGATTTAACGAAGTCACTGGTGTAGCTTCTTTAGAATATATATATTCTTCTTCTCTTAAAGTTTGTAGACCGCCCGTCTTAGTACTCCCTTGTCAAAGTTGTCAAGGATGGTTTTATGTCCCGGTTTTATTTTGAGACGGTCCCTGTCTTGTCTGATTTGTTTACAATATTGCAAACTTGTTGGTAAGACATACCAACAGCTCTACATGTTCTGTAATAACCCCTTTCTAAACTAATGAAATGTTTACCTCTGTATTTTTCAAGCACAAAAAACTTATAAACCTTTGCAACAATTGACTGCAAATAGTTATCCATAGTAGACTCTGTGATAAAGATGTACATGCATGACGGGAAACTTATTTATCAAGACTTAACATTTATATTAATATTTCTTCAATAAAGAAACGATAATTAAGTAAAGTAACACAAACATTCAACATTTATTTGTTAAAGAAAAACATTGATTCATATTTTTACACCACCTGTATTATTAGCATAAATGTAAAGACTATTTTAGATTTCTGTTGTTGAACTAAAAAATTCTTAAGTTGTTGTTTTGGTACCATATTCTCTCCTGTAAACTGCCCTTTAAATGCATGGGAATGTTAAATCGATTGAAATAAAAATTAGGTACACTATAGGCGAGTTGATATATTGACAACATAGTACATTTATCACCTTTATCAAAGTATTAAGGCTAAAAAGCATATTTCTAGCATTTCCGACAGTACTTTAGCATAAACATGGATGTCGACTTGAAAGAAAATTCATTTATTAGTGATTGAACTTGTAAGCTCTTGTTTAAAAAAGACCTGTTTTGTTGGATCTTAGGACCACATCATCAAGTTATGAGATTTGTTTGTTTTTTTGTGAAAGGGATTGCAAGTTGCTTTCGGAAATCAAGAGTACACTTCAGGCATTCAGATGTATACATAGACGGATTTTGTCCTGTAAGTTTATTAAATGACCCATGAAAACAGGTGAAAATGAAGTGTGCACACTCCCTTTCTCAAGAGCGTACCCCCAGCCTTTCTCAAGAAGCTATATCCGCCCCAGGTGTACATAAGACTGTGTATCCCAGAATAATCGGGTTTGATAGATCATTTGTTTAATAATAAGATATTGTTGGATTACATTAATGGTATAGTTTTGATGTACATATTGATTTCAGTGATCAGTGTAGGACGTGTACTTAGCTTGTTACTTGCCACCATTTTCCAAGAGAGCCATAGCCTAGGAAACAAGTGAATATGACAGTTTCTTCCACTAGTCAACCACATTTTAAACAAGTGGTGTATAACCATAATGGCATGTTTGTCGGTGAAATTATTTTGGTAATTTTTTATTTGCATTCTGTTTTTGCTTCATGCTTTTTTGTTCTTACTGTGTTATACCAGTTTTTCTTTGCTTTGCGAAGTGACCTACAGCAGTGCATTGTTACAAATAATTATTCCAGCAATA